AATTCGTTGGGACATGGACTCTACAAGGTGTCAAGCGTTCCACAGGGATGTTGGCCCATGTTTCCCACAAGTTGGCTGGATTTCCTTTGGGTGGTGGACCATTCTTGATACATACGGGAAACTGTTGAGCATGAAAAACCCAGCAGCGTTGCAGTTCTTGACACACACAAACTGGTGCACCTGGCACCTACTACCATACCCCATTCAAAGGCACTGAAATATTTTATCTTGCCCATTCACCCTAAGAATGGCACACATATAGTGCATTCGGAAAGTATTATTATTATTAAAATGGATTCAATCTTTTTTTCCCCCCTCATCAATCTACACACAATACTCCATAATGACAAAGCAAAAACATGTTTTTAGATTTTTGGGCAAATTTATAAAAAATATAAAACTGAAATATCACATTTACATACGTTTTCAGATCCTTTACTCAGTACTTTGTTGAAGCACCTTTGGCAGCGATTACAGCCTCGAGTCTTCTTGGGTATGACGCTACAAGCTTGGCACACCTGTATTTGTGGAGTTTCTCCCATTATTCTCTGCAGATCCTCTCAAGCTCTGTCAAGTTGGATGTGGAACGTCGCTGCACAGCTATTTTCAGGTCTCTCCAGAGATGTTCAAGTCCGGGCTCTGGCTGGGCCACTCAAGGACATTCAGAGACTTGTCCCGAAGCCACTCCTGCGTTGTCTTGGCTGTGTGCTTAGGGTCGTTGTCCTGTTGGAAGGTGAACCTTCACCCCACTCTGAGGTCCTGAGTGCTCTGGAGCAGGTTTTCATCAAGGATCTCTCTGTACTTTGCTCCGCACATCTTTACCTCGATCCTGACTAGTCTCCCAGTCCCTGCCGCTGAAAAAGATCCCCACAGCATGATGCTGCCACCATCATGCTTCACCGTAGGGATGTTGCCAGGTTTCCTCCAGACGTGACGCTTGGCATTCAGGCCAAAGAGTTCAATCTTGGTTTCATCAGACCAGATAATCTTGTTTCACATGGTCTGAGAGTCCTTTAGGTGCCTTTTTGGCAAACTCCAAGCAGGCTGTCATGTGCCTTTTACTGAGGAGTGGCTTCCGTCTGGCCACTCTACCATAAAGGCCTGATTGGTGGAGTGCTGTATAGATGGATGTCCTTCTGGAAGTATCTCCCATCTCCACAGACGAACTCTGGAGCTCTGTCAGAGTGAAGAGCCTTGGTGGTTCCAAACTTCTTCCATTTAAGAATGATGGCGGCCACGGTGTTCTTGGGGACCTTCAAAGCTGACATTTTTATTTGGTACCCTTCCCCAGATCTGTGCCGCAACACAATCCTGTCTCGGAACTCTACGGACAATTCCTTCGACCCAATGGCTTGGTTTTTGCTCTGACATGCACTGTCAACTTTGGGAGCTTATATAGACAGGTGTGTGTCTTTCAAAATCATGTCCAATCAATTGAATTTACCGCAGGTGGACTCCAATCAAGTTGTAGAAACATCTCATGGATGATCAATGGAAACAGGATGCACCTGAGCTCAATTTCGAGTCTCATAGCAAAGGGTCTGAATACTTATGTAAATAAGGTATACAAAAATAAATAAAATAAAAATATATATTTTCGCCTTGTCATTATGGGGTGTTGTGTGTAGATTGATGAGGAAAATGTTTAGAATAAGGCTGTAACGTAAAAAATGTGGTGAAAAGTCAAGGGTCTGAATACTTTTCGAATGCACTGGGCCTGTCTGTTTCCGTTAGATACAACAGTTTGATTCGGATTCTATTTAGATAGTCTAATAAATCTCATTTGAATTTTGCATTTTACAAAATCAGGACTGTCCTGTCAAGAATGAGCTGCCATATTCTCAAATTGATTGAGATTGTTTTTGTGCCCTTCATGAAATGTTATTTCAGATATTGAAAAATGTATTCAGTTAAAATAGTATGTTATAAGTCAGTGCATGCCCACTGGGCACAAACTAGTTAAGTCAACGTTGTTCCAACGTCATTTGTCACTTATTGTGACGTGAAATCTATGTGGAAAATACATTGGATTTGCAAAATGTCTATTAAGTTGTGGACACAAGTTAACAAATTATATGTTGTATTCACGTCTCCAACTAAACCAAAAAATAAAAGTTAAAGAATAGGATTAAGCCAGTGGCTCTGATGAAACTATCCAAGCAGTTTTTATTCAACCCCAAAATTAGTAACTCATCCATGGTCACATTTTGAGCTAGCTATAAATGGCTTATTATTTAATCATAGAAAGTGTGCATGTTTAAGATCTTCACAATATTAATAATCGGCTCAGAATCTCAAACAGCACTGATCTCTTGCACAATGTACATTTAATGTAATCTGAACTACAATCCAGGTCATTTGGTTCTGCTATTAGATGAAGCACAGTGGTAAAACATTATGTTGTTGTATTTAAATACAACATATCTGACATTGTTTTCCCATTTGAACATTGTTGTGCTTTTAAATGGCTGAAAGTGCAGTGATAACACATTTAGATGACAACTAAACCAAAATTCAGACATTGTTTTTCCGTTGGAATTTGGTTGTGCTTTTAGATGGTTGAAAGCATAGTGATAGCACGTTGGGATTTCAACAAACTTATTTTTTTTTCGGTACTCAGCAGAGCTGAGGTACGTTCCAGCAAGATTTCAATTATTCAGGTATTTCACCATGTTTCATGTTTTCATGTTGGAGAATTGTCTGGTCATTTCAATCCTGAATTGACCCCAAACGTCTGTGGTAAACAGCAGCATTCTACTAGATATACAGTTATGTGGAAAAACTATTTGCCTACAGGAAGCATTTGGTTGGAGTCATTGCAGCTAAAGGTGGCACAACCAGTTATTGAGTGTAAGGGGGCAATTACTTTTTCACACAGGGGAACTGGGTGTTGCATAACTTTGTTTATGAAATAAATGAAATAAATATGTAATTGTTGTGTTATTTGTTCACTTATGTTCCCTTTATCTAATATTAGGTTTTGGTTGAAGATCTGATAACATTCAGTATCACAAATATGCAAAAGTAGAGAAAATTAGAAAGGAGGCAAATACTTTTTCACAGCACTGTAAGTCTATAGCGCTGGCTGTTCGGAAGGGTTCATGTTGGGATTCCAGGAGCCACGTTTCTGCAGAAAGTGTCTGACTCCTCACAAAGCTGCCATGTGTCGTGAGTCCTCTTCAGCGCCGACCTTGAACTTTTCTTTGAAGCCAGAATGCGTTTTCACTTCGCTTCATTTGCTGTCCGGCCCACTGATTTCAAACACACGCCCCAAAGGCAGCGCCTCGACATGATAGCACTGTGCAACATTATTAGCATACTGTCTCGAGGTATGTCAAGACACTAACTGTAGCCTTTCCCTTTTTTTTTTTTTTTTTTTTTTTTTTTTTTTTTACACAAGGCAATGTGCAATGTTTACACTTCAGGCAATGGTTAAGCAATGAGCAAATTGACCAACCACCATGGGGAAAGTGGCATTGTGACAATGATTTCTTAGAAGTTGTTGCAACATTTTTCTGGTGTATTAAAACTTGGTTACACAATGTTATGCAAGGCTATGAGGTTGAGCCACAGAATTTACCAGAATTGTGTGATTAATACTATAAATGATGAGTGACACAACTATTCTATGTAACATCTTATCTCTCATCTGTCTCTTCTTCACTAATTGTCTGTCGAGGGAGTCTTGAAAATGTTGTCTGAGAATTTGCCGTGCACCATGCTGTAGAATAGATAAACAATAGGCAAATTTTTGGCTAGTTTTTAGCCTTCAAAGTTCTGTCATTACGTTATGTTGCGTTATTTTAAGCTATCTGTTATAAGTTGATGAAGCAAGTAAGAAGAGAGGCTATCCAAAGCAAAGAGAGGTAGACCGAGAGACAGCGAAACAGTCCAAAGGAAAGGGAGGTAGACAGAGACAGCGAAAAACAGCAACTGGAAACAAATTAGTGTTTTGTCTTTGCGCCATCAGGGTTCTGTGATAACTCATGCAGGCTCCTCCACGGGTAAACACTTTTCCATCCAAGTTCTTGTGTAAGAGTTGAGCAACAAGGCCAAACGCTTCAAACCGACTACTTTCATGAGAACAAAAACAGATGGCATTTATTTAAATCCAAAAGTCTGCAACAGCTACATTCTACCTGAGCTTGTGTATAGTTTACCTGTCATTTATACAAATATATTATAATAATAATAATAATAATATGTCACTTTTTAGTGATGTCCCTTATTTTTCTGTGTTATCATTTTGTCTTAGTTTTTTCCAAGTGGCTTAGATATGTGGCTGTAGGCAGCTGTCAGAAAGAAAACACAACTAACCAAGATGACTATCGCCGCCACCACTCCCCCTGTCCTGTTCCGTCTGCTCAACCTGATCCATTCAGAATGAGTGTGTGTCAGCATCCCGTCTGGGAGGTGAAGAAAGTGTCTGTGATCACTGTAAACAAAAACCACTCTCAGACATACTGATAATACACCAGTGAGACGGGAGGAGACCCTGCAAATTAAGTGGCTGACCCATATTCACTGTAGGCCCTATTACCGAGGAACTACACCGCCATTAGTTCAACATATCTGGTTTTATTTTTCCCCCGGACTATGTGCATTGCATTGTTTTGTCTCCTCAGAGAGCGTATGTAAATGTTGTATTTGCTGTAGAAATGCATCCGGACTGAGATTATTACCTTTTTGAGCAGTGCCGCGAGCAATATAACCGCCGTTCTAGTCTGATAAGGAAGTTAGTCGTAGCGTTACTTCAGCATTCCCCTCGTGGTTACAGGAAAGCGATCTACTTTAGCAGTTTATGAGAAGCCCAATAAAAAAGGCCATTGCTGTTTTGTTTTTTATCTCAAATTTCTCCCTTTTTTTTTTACCCCTCATTTAGTTCAGTGTTCGCCTTCTAGATATTTAATATGTCTAGATCTAGGCTTGACATAACTGCTGCCAGGTGCATCACAGCTCCTGCAAGATGGGGTTACTGTATATTCAGGTGGTGAGAAGCCATGGCCTTCTTTCTCTTTGTATTTCACCTCCCCAGATATGTGACTCCCACAGACGGAGTGAGGTAATTGCTTGCACTGAATGAGAAAGTATGTCAGCCTTTAAAGCAAAGGTCAGGATTTACAGTGTCCCTCGAACAAAGGAATAAATTGACTCACTACTGTACACGTTTCCCAGGAGATACAGAGAAGTGGTTATAGAATGTTTAATCCTGGGATGGGAAAAAAAATTGACTTTTTGCTAACTATTGTGAGGAGCAACTCTCCATATAAAAATACATTTTTATTGACCTATTTGTATGAACATACAATTTTTGTAAATATTCTGTACCGTGTTCACTGGTTAGGATTGACTATAGGGTGAGATAGTGACTGTTTGTCTAATTATTAGCTGTTCAGTTGTCTTGCCCTTCTAGCTTGCTTCCGTTTGTGTACTCTATATTCTAGTTTTGTGTACTCTATATTCTAGTGTTGTGTACTCTATATTCTAGTTTTGTGTACTCTATATTCTAGTGTTATGTACTGTATATTCTAGTGTTGTGTACTCTATATCCTAGTGTTGTGTACTCTATATCCTAGTGTTGTGTACTGTATATTCTAGTGTTGTGTACTCTATATTCTAGTGTTGTGTACTCTATATTCTAGTTTTGTGTACTCTATATTCTAGTGTTGTGTACTCTATATTCTAGTTTTGTGTACTCTATATTCTAGTTTTGTGTACTCTATATTCTAGTTTTGTGTACTCTATATTCTAGTTTTGTGTACTCTATATTCTAGTGTTGTGTACTCTATATTCTAGTGTTGTGTACTCTATATTCTAGTGTTGTGTACTCTATATTCTAGTGTTGTGTACTCTATATTCTAGTTTTGTGTACTCTATATTCTAGTTTTGTGTACTCTATATTCTAGTTTTGTGTACTCTATATTCTAGTGTTGTGTACTCTATATTCTAGTGTTGTGTACTCTATATTCTAGTGTTGTGTACTCTATATTCTAGTGTTGTGTACTCTATAATCTAGTGTTGTGTACTCTATATTCTAGTGTTGTGTACTCTATATTCTAGTGTTGTGTACTCTATATTCTAGTGTTGTGTACTCTATATTCTAGTGTTGTGTACTCTATATTCTAGTTTTGTGTACTCTATATCCTAGTGTTGTGTACTCTATATTCTAGTTTTGTGTACTCTATATTCTAGTTTTGTGTACTCTATGTTCTAGTGTTGTGTACTCTATATTCTAGTGTTGTGTACTCTATATTCTAGTGTTGTGTACTCTATATTCTAGTGTTGTGTACTCTATAATCTAGTGTTGTGTACTCTATATTCTAGTGTTGTGTACTCTATATTCTAGTGTTGTGTACTCTATATTCTAGTGTTGTGTACTCTATATTCTAGTGTTGTGTACTCTATATTCTAGTGTTGTGTACTCTATATTCTAGTGTTGTGTACTCTATATTCTAGTTTTGTGTACTCTATATTCTAGTTTTGTGTACTCTATATTCAAGTTTTGTGTACTCTATATTCTAGTTTTGTGTATTCTATATTCTAGTTTTGTGTACTCTATATTCTAGTGTTGTGTACTCTATATTCTAGTGTTGTGTACTCTATATTCTAGTGTTGTGTACTCTATATTCTAGTGTTGTGTACTCTATAATCTAGTGTTGTGTACTCTATATTCTAGTGTTGTGTACTCTATATTCTAGTGTTGTGTACTCTATATTCTAGTGTTGTGTACTCTATATTCTAGTGTTGTGTACTCTATATTCTAGTGTTGTGTACTCTATATTCTAGTTTTGTGTACTCTATATCCTAGTGTTGTGTACTCTATATTCTAGTTTTGTGTACTCTATATTCTAGTTTTGTGTACTGTATATTCTAGTGTTGTGTACTGTATATTCTAGTGTTGTGTACTCTATATTCTAGTGTTGTGTACTCTATATTCTAGTTTTGTGTACTCTATATCCTAGTGTTGTGTACTCTATATTCTAGTTTTGTGTACTCTATATTCTAGTTTTGTGTACTCTATATTCTAGTTTTGTGTACTGTATATTCTAGTGTTGTGTACTCTATATTCTAGTGTTGTGTACTCTATATTCTAGTGTTGTGTACTCTATATTCTAGTTTTGTGTACTCTATATTCTAGTGTTGTGTACTCTATATTCTAGTGTTGTGTACTCTATATTCTAGTGTTGTGTACTCTATATTCTAGTTTTGTGTACTCTATATCCTAGTGTTGTGTACTCTATATTCTAGTTTTGTGTACTCTATATTCTAGTTTTGTGTACTGTATATTCTAGTGTTGTGTACTCTATATTCTAGTGTTGTGTACTCTATATTCTAGTGTTGTGTACTGTATATACTAGAGGCCTAGTACATTACATAAAGCTCTAGTCATTTTCCTGTGATCCACCAAGTAAACTGCCTCCACAGTACATTCCAGCCCAGTACATCACAGCCCATTACATCACAGCCCAGGAGGTCACAGCCCATTACATCACAGCCCAGGAGGTCACAGCCCATTACATCACAGCCCATTACATCACAGCCCATTACATCACAGCCCATTACATCACAGCCCAGTACATCACAGCTCAGCAGGTCACAGCCCATTACATCACAGCCCAGGAGGTCACAGCCCAGTACATCACAGCCCATGAGGTCACAGCCCAGGAGGTCACAGCCCAGTACATCACAGCCCAGGAGGTCACAGCCCAGTACATCACAGCCCAGTACATCACAGCCATAGGAGGTCACAGCCCAGTACATCACAGCCCAGTACATCACAGCCCAGGAGATCACAGCCCAGTACATCACAGCCCAGGAGGTCACAGCCCAGTACATCACAGCCCAGTAGGTCACAGCCCAGGAGGTCACAGCCCATTACATCACAGCCCAGGAGGTCACAGCCCAGTACATCACAGCCCAGTAGGTCACAGCCCAGTAGGTCACAGCCCAGGAGGTCACAGCCCAGGAGGTCACAGCCCAGTACATCACAGCCATAGGAGGTCACAGCCCAGGAGGTCACAGCCCATTACATCACAGCCCAGGAGGTCACAGCCCAGGAGGTCACAGCCCATTACATCACAGCCCAGGAGGTCACAGCCCAGGAGGTCACAGCCCAGGAGGTCACAGCCCAGTACATCACAGCCATAGGAGGTCACAGCCCAGTACATCACAGCCCATTACATCACAGCCCAGGAGGATTGTGCCATGACCCACAGCATTGTTCAAACATCACTTTTCATCCTTATCTCATACTTGTCAAATCATCACAATAAATTAAACTGAAAACTTCAACAAAGATATACTGTAGACCAGGGGTCTCCTCTCCAGTTCCAAAGGTCCTGGACAGCTGCACAGGGTGTGGAGGCTTTCGTTCCATGATTGGTTAATGTTTTAAATGAGGTGTGTTAGTGTTGTACAGTCGTGGTCAAAAGTTTTGAGAATGACACAAATATTAATTTTCACAAAGTCTGCTGCCTCAATTTTTATGATGGCAATTTGCATATACAGTGATCCCTCGCCACTTCGCGGTTCACTTATCGCGGATTCGCTATTTCGCGGATTTTCATAATGCATTTTTTTTTTTTTTTTGGTGCATTGTGCTCTGCATTCTGATTCGCTAAAAACTCACTCCCGCTTCTTGTATCAAAACATGCTACGAATTGTGCTATCATTTTGTCGTCTCGTGCAGTTATGTGTACGTACATAAAACAGCTTGGCAAATTTACATTAAGTTGGCCAAATTATCTTGTAATTTCGAACATCTTCTAAACCCATAATGTCGACGAAACGGCCTACACGTGAGTCACTGTATTTGTATACATGTAATAGTTGCTAATTGTAAAAAAAAAAAAGTTTTCTATTTCGCGGATTTCACTTATCGCGGGTCATTTTCGGAACGTAACCCCCGCGATAAACGAGGGATTACTGTACTCCAGAATGTTATGAAGAGTGATCAGATGAATTGCAATTAATTGCAAAGTCCCTCTTTGCCATGAAAATGAACTTAATCCCCCAAAAAAACATTTCCACTGCATTTCAGCCCTGCCACAAAAGGACCAGCTGACATCATGTCAGTGATTCACTCGTTAACACAGTGTTGACGAGGACAAGGCTGGAGATCACTCTGTCATGCTGATTGAGTTAGAATAACAGACTGGAAGCTTTAAAAGGAGGGTGGTGCTTGAAATCATTGTTCTTCCTCTGTTAACCATGGTTACCTGCAAGGAAACACGTGCCGTCATCATTGCTTTGCACAAAAAGGGCTTCACAGGCAAGGATATTGCTGCTGGTAAGATTGCACCTAAATCAACCATTTATCGGATCATCAAGAACTTAAAGGAGAGAGGTCCAATTGTTGTTAAGAAGGCTTCAGGGCACCCAAGAAAGTCCAGCAAGTGCCAGGACCGTCTCCTAAAGTTGATTCAGATGCGGGATCGGGGCACCACCGGTGCAGAGCTTGCTCAGGAATGGCAGCAGGCAGGTGTGAGTGCATCTGCACACACAGTGAGGCAAATACTTTTGGAGGATGGCCTAGTATCAAGAAGGGCAGCGAGGAAGCCACTTCTCTCCAGGAATCTGCAAAAGGTACAGGGATTGGACTGCTGAGGACTGGGGTAAAGTCATTTTCTCTGATGAATCCCTTTTCCGATTGTTTGGGGCATCTGGAAAAAAGCTTGTCCGGAGAAGACAAGGTGAGCGCTACCATCAGTCCTGTGTCATGCCAACAGTAAAGCATCCTGAGACCATTCATGTGTGGGGTTGCTTCTCAGCCAAGGGAGTGGGCTCACTCACAATTTTGCCTAAGAACACAGCCATGAATAAAGAATGGTACCAACACATCCTCCGTGAGCAACTTCTCCCAACCATCCAAGAACAGTTTGGTGAAGAACAATGCCTTTTCCAGCATGATGGAGCCCCCTGCCATAAGGCAAAAGTGATAACTAAGTGGCTCGGGGAACAAAACATCTACATTTTGGTCCATGGCCAGGAACTCCCCAGACCTTAATCCCATTGAGAGCTTGTGGTCAATCCTCAAGAGGCGGGTGGACAAACAAAAACCCACAAATTCTGACAAACTCCAAGCATTGATTATGCAAGAATGGGCTGCCATCAGTCAGGATGTGGCCCAGAAGTTAATTGATAGCATGCCAGGGCGGATTGCAGAGGTCTTGAAAAAGAAGGGTCAACACTGCAAATATTGACTCTTTGCATAAACTTAATGTAATTGTCAATAAAAGCCTTTGACACTTATGGAATGCTTGTAATTATACTTCAGTATACAATAGTAACATCTGACAAAAATATCTAAAAACACTGAAGCAGCGAACGTTGTGAAGACCAATATTTGTGTCATTCTCAAAGCTTTTGACCACGACTGTAGACTGTCTTTGGGTGTTATAGTCCATGAATAATCCAACATGAATGAATAAAAACTGCCACCTCTCGCAAATAGAATTATAGCTCATATTTTGTTCCGCGTCAGCAGGCAGGCCATCTTTATTCATTAACATAACGTTACTCACTGTAGCGCCCACTCTCTCCGCTTCTTTCACCACCTCCTCCTCTTCCTCCTCCTCCTCCTCCTCCTCCTCTGTCCAGGTGGTACCCAGCGACTGCCCAGGGCCATCGGGGTAGCCCTGGCTAAGGAGCTGATCTTTGCGGCGCGGGCGATTGACGGAACTGAGGCGAAGAGACTGGGCCTGGTCAGCCATGCCGTGGAGCAGAACAACAGTGGAGATGCCGCCTACCTGAGAGCTCTGGACCTGGCCCGCGAGTTCAACCCAAATGTGAGTGGACGATAAAGCATGTGTGTATATTGTATCGAAACCTGTGTAATACCACCGTTAAGGCAGGGAAGAAATTACACGTCGGCTGTGTCCGAAATCGTGTGCCCTTACCTGATTATCAGCTGGGTCTAAAAAATGTAATTTTCTTCCTCAATAGCGTGCAGCGAATTCATACTAGATGAAAAACTGAAATGAGGATTACATCCTGGCATATATAAAGCATACTAAATGTTTTTGAAATTTCACATACTATAAAATGTTTTATTTTTGCATACCCAATCAGCGTACTATTTCGAACGCAGTGTACGGTTATTCGGACATGGCCATTGACACTGTGGTTGACCTGAAATCAAACCTATACTCAGAATAGGCTGAATGATTTGGAGTGTAGCATACAGTCGTGATGTATCAGAAATAACACCTGAGCGAATGCAGATGTTGTACCTTTTATGTACGGATTAGATTTCTAGTGACCTGCAACATTATACCGGACAACCACCTGGTATATAGACTCAGGGTAGACACAACGACCATTGTTATTTACATGAACTTTTGACCCTAAACAAACCATTGTGTTGCTTTTGATCTCCTCAGGGTCCCATTGCAATTAGGATGGCAAAGTTGGCCATCAACCAGGGCATAGAGGTAAGACTCATACATAACAGTACTTTTTCCATCTCTGTAATAAGTGATCAAATGTCCCCAAATTCGGTTTCCAGTCAACACACTGGCCTCGAGTACAGTATTTTATAATTTGACCAAATCTGTTCGTATGTTTATTATTGAATGGTCAGGGCACAGGTTAAGTCAATGTAATGTTCTAAGCAGACCTGGGTTCAAATAATATCGGAGATTGGCCCCTTAGGGATGACCTTTTAGGGATGTCCTCTTGTGTCTAGCAATAGTATTTGGGAATGATCTCCTGGTTACAGCAATAGTATTTGGGAATGACCTTAGGTCTAGCAATAGTATTTGGGAAGAATCTCCTAGGTCTAGCAACAGTGTTTGGGAAGGATCTCCTAGGTCTAGCAACAGTGTTTGGGAATGATCTCCTAGGTCTAGCAATATTATTTGGGAATGGCCTCTTGGATCTTGCTGTATTTAGGAATTGGTGCCACAAAGCATGGTCGAGGTTTGAAGTTAGCATCTGATTCAGTAGTCAGTGAGTCAGCTCACTTGCCAAAGAGACCCATGTCACATCTGAAGGCCGTCAGATAAACCTGAGAGAATCTGTTGAGTGACTTCGTTATCCCAGAGGCCAACGGTCACGACTGACGAATCAAGTGAAGATATCTCCAAACCGCACTTTCTGACAGGTGTTGTGTCGTTGGTAGACAGCCTGTACTACCAAGTTAATGTGTCATAGGCTATACAAACTGGCAATATCCATATTGGGGCAAAATACGACCAATGGTCAAATCACGCAAATCACAAGCAAGACCAGCCTGGTTTCATGTAGTTTTCTCAGGCTATATGAATTCGGGTCATTAAAGCTTAACGTGTTCCTGCCTACTTTGAACAGCATCTGGCCCACTTGAAAGGTGCACATTTTTAAACAGAGAGAAATTCTACTCCACAAAGAACCTGTGCATTCCTTTATTATATTGCTCAAGGAAGATCTCTTTAAATTTAGGTAATTTTCTCAAGGAGAGTATGGCACAGGAGATATTTCTGGTTCAGTTAAATGCCAAGGTAACCTATTAATGTAGGGTTCTCCTCCCTCTGTGCTGTCAGGGAAAATAAATGCTGCCCTTAATTCTGTATAATTTAACCTTTAAAGTGTGAATGTGGAATGGGTCTTGGATCAAGGTAGGTTTGTTAAAGTTTTGTAAACATTTTACCAATGCACAGACATATGCTCAATATAGATATAGGATCTTAATTTGAGCCAGTTTGCTACAGTGTGGATTATGCACTGGACAAAAATATAAACTTCAAAGATTTTACTGATTTACAGTTCATATAAGGAAATCAATTAAAATAAATAAATTAGGCCTTAATCTATGGATTTCACATGAATGGGAATACAGATATGCATCTGTTGGTCACAGATACCTTAAAAAAAAAAAAAAACTGTCAGCATCTGGTGTGACTCATCTCCTTCGCATACAGTTGATCAGGCTGTTCATTGTGGCCTGTGGAATGTTGTCCCACTCCTCTTCAATGGCTGTGCAAAGTTGCTGGATATTGGCGGGAACTGGTACACACTGTCGTACATGTCGATCCAGAGCATCCCAAACATGCTCAATGGGTGACATGTCTGGTGAGTATGCAGGCCATGGAAGAACTGGTGCATTTTCAGCTTTCAGGAATTGTGTACAGATCCTTGCGACATGGGGCCGTGCATTATCATGCAGAAACATGAGGTGATGGCGGCGGATGAATGGCAGGACAATGGGCCTCAGGATCTCGTCACGGTATCTCTGTGCATTCAAATTGCCAGCGATATAATGCAATTGTATTCGTTGTCCATAGCTTATGCCTGCCCATACCATAACCCCACCGCCACCATGGGGCGCTCTCTTCACAACGTTGACATCAGCAAACCGCTCACCCACACAACGTCATCTGTCCGGTACAAATGAAACCGGGATTCATCCGTGAAGAGCACACTTCTCCAGCGTGCCAGTGGCCATCAAAGATGAGCGTTCGGTGATGACGACGAGCTCGCAGATGAGTTTCCTTGACAGTTTGTGCAGTAATTCTTTGGTTGTGCAAACCCACAGTTTCATCAGCTGTCCGGGTGACTGGTCTCAGATGATTCCGCAGGTGAAGAAGCCGGATGTGGAGGTCCTGGGCTGGCGTGGTTACACGTTGTCTGCGGTTTGAGGCCATTTGGATGTACTGCCAAATTATCTAAAATGACGTTGAAGGCGGCTTATGGTAGAGCAATGAACATTTAATTATCTGGCAACAGCTCTGGTGGATATTCCTGCAGTCAGCATGCCAATTGCCTGCTCCCTCAAAACATCTGTGGCATTGTGTTGTGTGACAAAACCGCACATTTTAGAGTGGCCTTTTATTGTCCCCAGCACCTGTGTGGTGATCATGCTGTTTAATCAGCTTCTTGATATGCCACACCTGTCAGGTGGATGGATTATCTTGGCAAAGGAGAAATGCTCACTAACAGGGATGTAAACACATTTGTGCACTAAATTTGAGAGAAATAAGCTTTTCGTGCGTATGGAAAATTTCAGTGATCTTTTATTTCAGCTCATGAAACATGGGATCAAGACTTTACATGTTGCGTTTATATTTTTGTTCAGTGTAATTAATGGACATTTTTGTAGGTGTTGATACATTTTTCGTAAGGGAAAATCAAGTCTGAAATTTCAAAGTGGGAATTACAAACTTCAGAAGCCTTTTTAAACCTCAAATACTACACTACAAGTTTTACATTTCAGTTCTTCTGCAACAGGGTGATCAAATTAAGATCCTACATCTGTAGTTTCGATCCTGTAGGAATGACTGGAAACAATGAAACAAGGAAACCACATAGCTGGTCAAGAATAAAGATGGTAGAAAATAGATATTTTACGGTCTATATTGCTGCATATGTTAGTTATGTTCTCTAATATCTTGATATTTTTCAGGTGGATTTAAATACGGGATTAGCAATTGAAGAAGCATGCTATGCCCAGGTAGGTCTAGTCATGAACAACAACCCTTCTGTTAAATAGCCCATATTCTCTAGAATTTCTATGCTTATTTTTTGCTAGAACTATTTAAAATGTACACTTTTATATGCAGTTCACATACAATGACGCCACGATTTGTCAAGGTTAGATAGCGTCTATTAACCTAGTGTACCTCTTCCACCTGCATACCTACGCTCACTTTGGACGCCAACAGTCTTCGATTATCTTTCAAACAACTCACACAGTATGACACATAAACAACACAAGCACTAGCGCTCGCAGGATCACTAAAGATAGAACATCTACGTCGTTGTCTTTCATTGACACATCTTTTGTGGTTTCCAAGGTGATTCCGACAAAAGACAGGCTGGAAGGACTGGCTGCGTTCAAGGAGAAGAGGCCCCCTCGCTTCAAGGGAGAGTAAACGCCACCCTGGGCCAATCAAGGTGGAGTAAACGCCACCCCGGGCCAATCAAGGGAGAGTAAACGTCACCCTGGGCCAATCAAGGGAGAGTAAACGCCACCTTGGGCCAATCAAGAGCAATCGCAAACAGCTACCTTCAGTTCTCCTCCTTTCACTGCTTCTGTCAGATTCCCATAAGATGACATTATAGCCAGTACCCTCCGCACTAGAACTGGAGTGGGGTGTCCTAACCGAGAGGTGAGAGGTCACGTGAAAGTACTGTATCCGGACAGAGATAGAAGTTAGGGAGAGAACAACTTTACAGCTGATTAATAACCAGAACCGCTAATCTGCATGATGACTCTTTATTTTATTTTATTTTTTTCCAGTTTCTAATGTCATGAGTTGCCTTTCCTTGTTGTCGTGTCCAACATGTGGTCTGTCTGCTGTATGTTAACGTCATTGTTCCTCAGTGATTCAGAAGCACATTCATGAGATCAGAATAATGAAGAATTTGGTAACTATGATGAGATTAGAACCCTAGTATAACGCAGAATATAATCGTCCCTGAAATGCCCTATTTGTTTGAGCAGCGAATGGTCGTCAGCGCATCCAATCCATTTTCGAATTACATTTCATGATATCAGGCAGGCCATTCACTAACAGCAAATCACATGATAAAAGCGATGCACTTCCCAAGTTCACTGTGTTTTCTAATGTTTGAATGTTAGGAGAAAGGATATGTTCCTAGATCACAGAGGAAATCTTTGTTGAGCTATCACAATAAAGTTCTGTCTCAAACTCTTGTCGCCTGTCCATGCTTCTCGTCTCATGTTTTGAAGCTGGTTACACAACATGACATACTGTAGCTTTGCATAAAAACATATATTGGGACTTCGCTGGTAAAAACAAATGTGAATACATTCCGCCAACCTAGGATGTAAGCCCAGTTATTGTTTTAGATTACCATCAATATATTGATGTTTTATGACATTTCACCCTAAGAGAGACATTTTTGGAGAATGGCGTTTCATCCCGTTCAAAAGCCCACTGGTCATTTATTTCACTCTGAATGCATTTCAAAGATGAAACATAAGCTGTTAAACATTAGTGGAACGTTCCTGAGATAATGATCTTGTTTTGGTGGGAAGGTTAAGCTCATACTTCTAACAGTCAGTTGTAAAAACGTTAGCATTATGGCTGAAGGTTAGCAACTTTGTCTGCTTGAGGACACAGTTTCCCTCAGGGCTGAAGGTTAGCAACTTTGTCTGCTTGAGGACACAGTTTCCCTCAGGGCTGAAGGTTAGCCACTTTGTCTGCTTGAGGACACAGTTTCCCTCAGGGCTGAAGGTTAGCCACTTTGTCTGCTTGAGGACACAGTTTCCCTCAGGGCTGAAGGTTAGCCACTTTATCTGCTTGAGGACACAGTTTTCCTCAGGGCTGAAGGTTAGCCACTTTGTCTGCTTGAGGACACATACGATGCCTTCAGAAAGTATTCACACCCCTTGACTTTTTCCACATTTTGTTGTTACAGCCTGAATTTAAAATGGATTCAATTTAGATTTTGAGTCACTGATCAACACATAATACCCCATGTCTAATTTGTACTAATAGTAAAAAAGTTTGAGTCAATAAGTATTCAACCCCTTTGTTATGCCGAAATAACTTCAATAGTAAAAATCTGCTTAACAGATCGTATAATGAGTTGCATGGACTAGCTCTGTGTGCAATAATGGTGTTTAACATGATTTAAAAAGGCCCCTCAGCCAAGCAGTGAATTTCAAGCACAGATTCAAGGGAGGTTTTCCAGTGCCTTGCAAAGAAGGGCACATATTGGTAGATGGGTAGAAAAATTACAGCAGACATTGAATATACCTTTGAGCATGGTGAAGTTATTAATTACACTTTGGATGTTGTATCGATACACCCAGTCACTACAAAATACAGGTGTCCTTCCTAACTCAGTTGACGGAGAGGAAGGAAACCGTTCAGAGAATTTCACAATGAGGCCAATGGTGATTTTAAACCAGTTACAGAGTTAAATGGCTGTGATAGGAGAAAACTGAGGATGGATCAACAACATTGTAGTTACTCCACAATACTAACCTAAATGACAGGGCGAAAAGAAGGAAGCCTGTACAGAATAAAAATATTCCAAAACATGCATCCTCTTTGCAATAAGGCATTAAAGTAATACTGCAACAAACGTTTTGTCTTGAATACAGAGCGTTATGTTTGGGGCAAATCCAACACAACACATCACTGAGTACCACTCTTCATATTTTCAAGCATGGTGGTGGCTGCATCATGTTATGGGTATGCTTGTCATTGGCAAGGACTAGGGAGTTTTAGCCACTTTGTCTGCTTAAGGACACTTCGTTTCCCTCAGGGCTGAAGAATGTGACAAGAGGAGAGAAAAAAATCAGGACTCCGCAACTTTGCTGTTTATTAACTGAACTGGAACTGTGCCCCAAGGGGTCATGGGGGATGGTCACCTTTACTGCGGCATTCTGGGAATGATTAGCCAGCGTGATGTAATGGTTATCTCATAAACACATAGGGAACAGGAAAGAACTGCGTTGTTTTTCTCACAATCCACATTCAGCACATAAAGCTACAGTGGGGAAAAAAAGTATTTAGTCAGCCACCAATTGTGCAAGTTCTCCCACTTAAAAAGATGAGAGAGGCCTGTAATTTTCATCATAGGTACACGTCAACTATGACAGACAAATTGAGGGAAAAAAATCTAGAAAATCACATTGTAGGATTTTTTATGAATTTATTTGCAAATTATGGTGAAAAATAAGTATTTGGTCACCTACAAACAAGCAAGATTTCTGGCTCTCACAGACCTGTAACTTCTTCTTTAAGAGGCTCCTCTGTCCTCCACTCGTTACCTGTATTAATGGCACCTGTTTGAACTTGTTATCAGTATAAAAGACACCTGTCCACAACCTCAAACAGTCACACTCCAAACTCCACTATGGCCAAGACCAAAGAGCTGTCAAAGGACACCGGAAACAAAATTGTAGACCTGCACCAGGCTGGGAAGACTGAATCTGCAATAGGTAAGCAGCTTGGTTTGAAGAAATCAACTGTGGGAGCAATTATTAGGAAATGGAAGACATACAAGACCACTGATAATCTCCCTCGATCTGGGGCTCCACGCAAGATCTCACCCCGTGGGGTCAAAATGATCACAAGAACGGTGAGCAAAAATCCCAGAACCACACGGGGGGACCTAGTGAATGACCTGCAGAGAGCTGGGACCAAAGTAACAAAGCCTACCATCAGTAACACACTACGCCGCCAGGGACTCAAATCCTGCAGTGCCAGACGTGTCCCCCTGCTTAAGCCAGTACATGTCCAGGCCCGTCTGAAGTTTGCTAGAGTGCATTTGGATGATCCAGAAGAGGATTGGGAGAATGTCATATGGTCAGATGAAACCAAAATAGAACTTTTTGGTAAAAACTCAACTCGTCGTGTTTGGAGGACAAAGAATGCTGAGTTGCATCCAAAGAACACCATACCTACTGTGAAGCATGGGGGTGGAAACATCATGCTTTGGGGCTGTTTTTCTGCAAAGGGACCAGGACGACTGATCCGTGTAAAGGAAAGAATGAATGGGGCCATGTATCGTGAGATTTTGAGTGAAAACCTCCTTCCATCAGCAAGGGCATTGAAGATGAAACGTGGCTGGGTCTTTCAGCATGACAATGATCCCAAACACACCGTCCGGGCAACGAAGGAGTGGCTTCGTAATAAGCATTTCAAGGTCCTGGAGTGGCCTAGCCAGTCTCCAGATCTCAACCCCATAGAAAAGCTTTGGAGGGAGTTGAAAGTCTGTGTTGCCCAGCGACAGCCCCAAAACATCACTGCTCTAGAGGAGATCTGCATGGAGGAATGGGCCAAAATACCAGCAACAGTGTGTGAAAACCTTGTGAAGACTTACAGAAAACGTTTGACCTGTGTCATTGCCAACAAAGGGTATATAACAAAGTATTGAGAAACTTTTGTTATTGACCAAATACTTATTTTCCACCATAATTAGCAAATAAATTCATAAAAAATCCTACAATGTGATTTTCTGGATTTCTTTTCTCATTTTGTTTGTCATAGTTGACTTGTACCTATGATGAAAATTACAGGCCTCTCTCATCTTTTTAAGTGGGAGAACTTGCACAATTGGTGGCTGACTAAATACTTTTTTTCCCCACTGTAATTTATTCATGTAAAACTAGTCACTTATCAAGGAATTTAATACGGAAGTTGTGCAGACACAAGATATAGCTGGTTTGATCCATGCGCGGTCCATTGGACATGATAATAATATGCCATTTAGCAGACGCTTTTATCCAAAGCGACTTACAGTCATGCGTGCATACATTTTTTTGTGTATGGGTGGTCCCGGGGATCGAACCCACTACCTTGGCGTTACAAGCGCCGTGCTCTACCAGCTGAGCTAAAGTTTTATTACACTTGTTCAGCAGTTTGTGGTACATAGTCTTTGACTTAACGATCATAAAAAGTTATTACACAGTGATGGGAAGGGTTAGTCGGAAACATTAAGCAAACGTGCTCCATTACAAAATAGCAATAAAACCTCAATAGGATAGGAACTGTGTAGGCGTTTCAACAGGTTGGAGCATGATTACTTCCCATGATGCAACAATAATATGTATTCAACCAGCTATTCGCAGCATGCCTTTTATCCAACCATGCATTTCTAATCGACATACCTTTGGATTGTCACTGGTGTTTTAGTGTTAACAGTCAACACCATGTTGCTACACGTGTTTGACGTATCCTTATTTTATTAGACGTAGAGTAAGATTGTCCCTTGAGGGTAAATGTGGTCTATTTATCGCTTTTTAAAAAAATGAAAGGAATGAGACAATGTAATTCGACAGGAAAGATTACTGTTTTTCAGACATTACAGTACTTTCACACAAAAACATCCCCGCCTCTATTCGGGCTATAGACTACATTGTAATACAGGCCCAGTTGTTTCACTCTGTATA